TTTCTGTTATATATACTATGTAACAATCATCAGCAGCCCATTTGTTTTTGCTTTTCGATCTCGTACAGAACAGCCCTCTCACAGCCGGCAGGATCCCTGAGAATTTAAACGTAGGAACCCGATTCGCCCTGCTGGAGTGCCTGGAGACCATCCTAGTGAAGTCCATGCCTGCAGAACCTCAGTTGATCATAGTCTCTGCAACCAATCATAGTGGGAGGGATCCATTCTGGTCGTCATAGACACATGGTGGGGCCCACCGTAGGTACTTTTTTTTTTGCCCCTTCCGCGAAAGATGGGAATTTCAGCCAGTCGGCCGCGTTTAGTTCGGGTCCTGCAGGCTTGCTTCATTATGAATCTTACGGGTTGGCGGCTTTCCGGGTTCTTGTTTCTTTTCCAGTCTAGTCGGGTCTGGTCTGGTCCGGGTCTTGGGGTCATGGTCTTGGACCTGCTGCTGGGCGCGCGCGCGCGAGACCTTTCGTTGTCCGGACACACAGACACACAGACACACACACAGCGACACACGGACTCCCTCCTTCACAGGTTGGATGCTCGTACACTATGAACAGCAAAGAAAGCGGTGTAGGATCGCTGTGACTCTAAAATAGATAGTCTGTCTCTGTTCCTGTTGAACTTTCCCCAGTGCGTCTCGAGGTGGAGGTGGGGGAATGGATGTTGTTGGCCGGGAAAAGAAGGCTGTTAAGGAGTCACTGAGAGTAAACAAAAACAATAATCTGCCCAGTACTCCGTACTGGCAGCTACAGTACATGCCTGCCTACGCTAGGATAGGAAACAATTTTCTTTCCCCAAAACACAGTCTGAGTCAAATTATTCATCATGGATGACTCTGGCGGTACTCTTTTTTGGGGAGCAGGAAGAAGAAAGTTCCTTTCCGACATTCCTTAAAACAACCAACAAACGCTCCATCATCGGGTCGGACCAATAACCGCCACCCTAAAACATCCACCCGTGCTGATTTTCAGCCGGCTCGAGAACAAGTAAAGTGCGGAAAGAAAAAAAAAAAAACTGGCACTGACAAGAGAAGAGAGATGATGGTTGTCAGTCACAACCACAACAAAGTGGGATTCCTCAGGCCCTCCTCCTACCGCCCGCCTTATTTGATTTTCTATTACTTTATTTTTTCTTCGCCATTTCTGGCTTTTACCGTTACCGTACAGTAGACTGGGCCCTTTTCTACTTCTTCCGACGGTTCGGTGGCCCCTCACTGGCCAACGAAGTTTCCGGTGATTATTCCATTCCCATTCCCTCGACTTTCCATCTTGCCTTTTCTCGGTGCCGCCATCTTCATCATACATCGGCCCTCCATCCCTCCCTCCCTCCCTCCATCCATCCATCCATCCATCCACTTCCCCTAGCCGGAAACTAACCATCTCCCACCACCACCACCACCCTTTCCCTCCCCCCCCATCCCATCCCATCCCATCTTTCTTCCTTACTATTCATCCTACCACCTATTTTCCCCTTTTTCATCATACATTCCTCTTCTATTTGTAACATCCGAATTTCGCCCCCCTCCATCTACCATTATCTACTTCTCCATTCTAACCTTGTCTTGTGTCTTGGATTTTTGTGTGTTATTAGACTCGTTCTCCTGATTCTTAGTCCCCGTGCTCTCCTGTCTTGCCTATACTGTATTGTTCCGTCGACCCGTGCTCGGATTTACTAGTATACTATCTGCGTTGCTTATCCTTCCCTTCTTCCTCTTGTATCCTATTACTTCCTCGCCTCCTCTCCCTTCAGATCCTATTATATTCCAAAAAAACATGCCTTATAATACCCGTCGCAAATCATTGTCGCTTCCCTCCTTGGGGATTCACCTTCCGAACTCGTCCCGCCGCTCTCCGTCCACTTCGAAATCGCCGCACGCGACTGACGACCAGCTGCCTCCGTCCAAGAAAGTAAAACGGTCGCACGATTCCTCGTTATCGCCGGAGCCTTCAACCACCACTACGCGCGCTGCAGACAGCAAAGACCATCCGACACCTGTCCGTTCCTCTGGTCGGCGCAGCGCCTTGGAGCACACGCCACCTCCCTCTCCCACCGACCGCACGGTCGCCCCCAAGATCGACACAGAAGGCATAAACGATGACATCGTGGTCGGCGTCATCCAACAGCTGGAGAAAACGGGAAATCGTCCTCACCTGGTCAAGGAATTGGCTGCTGTTCTCATTGCGCTGAACGAGAGCGTCGCAAAGTAAGTTCCGCAGTCATTTTACTTTATCTTGTCTTGCACTTCTGACATTATTGCGCCTCCAACAGCTCTGCCAACCCCGCTGCTCTCCTGTCGTCACGGCTAAGCGCGTATATGAAACGCCCCTGGACTGCACTGGCACCTTGTCCTGTGGCCAAGGAATTGATCCCCATCCACCCACGCAAGGTTTACTACTTTTTGACGACTTCACCCCGTCAAGCCATTCCAGAGAACTCGGACGATGTCATAATCCCTGGCGTGGAAGGAAAGGACATGACGCCTAGCGTGACGAGTATTGACCTCGATGAGGAAGACGCGTTGGCGCGGGAGCGGTCGCGCCTCAGCCCCAGTCCCGAGGTCGACCTGTCTTCCCCCGACTTCGACGAAGAAAACATTGACTTGGATGGTCGCACGGGTTCCGCCAGCACCTCCCGGTCGAGTACAGAATTTGGAGATCACCACACTCGGCTGATGCACTCGAATCGAGCTGCATCCCCTCCATTGGAGGGTGATGAGAAGGAGTTCACACAAACCGCGAGCGCTGTCCGTGAGCGGGCTTCCGAACAAAAAGAAGCACAGCAACAGCCCTCTACCACACATTTTTCTGCGCTTTCGGAAGGTCTCAACGAGTTGCACGAAGATAGTATGATTATCTGCGGCACCCCCGTGGACGACAGCCACCTTTCGTTTAATGGCGATCGCATGGCTGATGAGCCCACCCACGATTACTTTTCTCGTGGCGGTCTCTCTGAACTTTCCCCTCTCCAAGGCCACCTCCAACAGCAGGATCTCGACGAGGCGGCCGTGGCGGCTCTGTTCGGTACTTCTCCTTCCCCTTCTCTCACATCGGTGGCCTCATCCATCTCGTCTGGCACGAGTGTGGCTTCGGATGACGGACTGGATGGCGAGTCTCAGTCGGAAGCGATTGGACGTGCCCCTCAGATCAGTCTACCCGAAGACCCCACCGTTCCCTCAGTATCGACACTGAAGCGTCCTATCGACATGCTGAATAGCGAGATGCCTGATCTGGACATGAAAATGGCAGATCTGGCTGAGCACGAAGACAAGGTGTCGCTAGGAGCTCGCGCACTGTCTCGCTCAGACGGGGCGACGGTTTTCGATTCGTGGCGAGAGCTACAGAGTCCGGAAACAGTTGATGTTCATGAGCTCGATGAGATGTTCGATGATCTCTAAATTCCCGCGACAACAAGACACCAGTCAGCGGGAGTTATCCCCTCTCCACTCCATTTTCGAAATTGGCTCGCCTTGATTGGCTAGCTCTCAACAGGTTCTTCGCAACCTGTTTGCTATATCCCTGTATATCTTTTTATCTCTAATGCGTGCTCGCGGCACTTGCCTTATCTCCGTTCTCGAAACCCCCAAGGCGACAGCCGAAGCCTGCGCTCCTCCTGTATATATACTCCTACTATACCTCATTCCTCTTTCCTGTCCTCCGTCTTTTCTCTCTTTCTCACGCTCACGCTCACACCACGACTGACTTGATCCTAATGTCTGCGATTTGATCGCGAAAAATTCTGTTTGATTGTTCAGCCGGATTGATCTGAAACGCTCGCTTGGTTGGATCGATGCGGATGCGATTGTCGGCGTTCTGAGACGGCTACATTCTGGTAGACTGGAAGAACAAAAATAGGGAAAATTGGAAGCAAAAAAGAAAGAAAAGGAACGCCGGAAAACTGGGATTTATGTTGTGATGTCAGCAATCATGTATGTTTAGCGCCTGTGGCCTCTCCAAGGTTGGAATAAAAAGCTTCCAAATCTCCCCGCAAGGGACTTCTCCGATTTGACAAAAGGTTCCTCGTATCTTCGCGGATTTCAAGCCCTAAATTGATTGGAGGTTCGGAGCCAACGCCATCGTTCCGTTCAATGGTTCAAGTTGCAGGGTGACTTGCAGCAGAAGCTCGCTCTTGGTTGGTCTGGCCAATCCTCCGGTCGGGAAGTTGTTCTGCCCCGAGACCACTTGAGATATGCCGAAAGTGATCTTCCTGGTTGCTGCCTAAGTCATAAGTAGTGTAACCCCCTTGTTGACTTGTGAATCAACCATTTTCTGTGTCGTATTATCTAAGCCGTATTCCATGAACTATTCCGAAGAACTCAGTGTAAGACTGGTGCACTCGTGGAAAAGTGAAGAAAGTCAGGAACGCTTGAACCAGAACAAGGAGGAAAGAAAAGATCATGACTTCATGGCGGGGCGATTGCGATCGAGTCTTGAGCTTGGACCAAGTCGAGGTACTAAACCTACCTAGAGTATGAGTACTAGTGACTGTAACCGCCCGCCCGCCTGTCATGCAGCCTGCATTGTTGCCAGGAAAGTGCCCACATCCACTGCATTCATTCCTCCTCCTCCTCCTCCTCCTTCTTCAGTACCTTACGGAGTAGTCCCCTTTCTCGTCTCTTCCACAGATCATCACCGCCTGTGTTCTTTTCCTCTCTTTCATTCCTCCCGTTCCCCCTTCTTCGCTCTCTTACCACTTTTGCCACTTCTGGTTCTGACCCTACTGCTAAAGCGCTGCAGCTGGCTGTGGCTGCAGACCTTCGCGCTCCTAATCGCTTCATCTCATCTCTGGAACCTTTCGCCGGGCGGCCATCATGTTCCTGCTTAGTCGTGCATGCTCTAGGCTCGAAAAAATCTGACATAGTTTGCAATCTTCGAAACGTCAACCACCCACCCGATCGATACCTCCAAAACCAGCGAAAGCAAGTGACCATCGTTGAAGCGAACCCCCCGCCGTCCGCCGTCCGTTGCCCCTCATTAGTCTGATCAGACAACACCATGGAAGCACAATCTAATCTACCGGACGGGGATGAAAGCCATTCGCAAGGTGGAATGCCTCTTCGTTTCCATCCGGAAGAGCCGTCAGTTTCCTCGTCCAACGCACCAGCACTGACTAGTACACCGTCATCACAACATCCACCGCGGCCGACCCTCCCCACTAATAGCGGAGGTACTGACTCCGATAAAAAACCACTACTTCCCACCACCAACGCCAGCAAAAAGGTTGCCATCCCGCGACAGCGCTCCGGGGCCGCCCCACGCTATGCTCGTCGTGTACCTTTGGCCTGCGAATCTTGTCGGCATCGCAAAACCAAGTGTAGTGGGGATACGCCAGTGTGTAGGCAGTGTAAGGAGCTGCGGGTTAGCTGCCGATACCCGATCTCCTGGCGCGAACGGACCAAGACGTTTGTCGATCCTATCGCACGCTTTCCTTGCGCTGGTCATTGACTCAAAAGTATTTAGGCAATTGAATAAGCTTTCTACCAAGACCTCCGATTATGAAAACCTCCTGCGGGACCTAAGTACCGTGGTGGACGGTCGCGCTGCCGAGCGAATAAAACTTGTTTTAGAGAAGGTGAGTATTAACCCCATAACCCATTGTATTCTGACCTTCTTCATATCCCCTGGAAAAGTCTGCGATAATGGGTTAACCCTGATCAGCATTCAGGTAGTGAAAGCACCGCGACGTCCACCGAAGCACAGTCGAGTTCCGTAACGCCGCAGGACGAATATGCAGACGATGACGTATCTTCAAATTCATCAATCGGATCGCTGGATGCAATAGATCGTGTCGAGGAGGATGTGAACCGAACCCCGAGTTCCCGAGCCACAGGCTATATGGGCAAGAACTCGGAGGTCATCTGGATGCAGCGAGTGCGCAAGGAGGCCGAACAACGTTCACGCAGATTGCCAGGCTTCTACGACGCGGACCGAGATAGCGATTTCGCGATTCATTCGGTCAATTACCACCTGGACGACATGGACATTTCTGTTCCTGGGCCCGTGCATGTGTATTGGATGCCGCCTCGGAAAGTGGCCGATCAGCTTTTTCAGGATTACCTGGAGACCGTGCACCCATTCTTTCCAATTGTCAACCGCACCCTCTTTTCCGCACAATACAAAACCTTCTTCGATAGCGCCGCTCGGCCCGGAGACAAGTGGCTAGCCATCCTAAATATGATTTTCGCCATCTCCGCCAAGCATGCCCACCTGACGCAGGCGCCCTGGCGCGGAGATGACAATGATCATCTGGTCTATCTCACTCGAGCCCGGATTCTTAGCATGAACGGAGACGTGCTATTCAGCCATCCTGATCTTCAGCAGGTTCAGGTGGAAGGTTTAATCGCATATTATTTACTCTCTACGGACCAAATAAACAGGTGAGGCAGTTATAGTACACATCCTCATGTACGTTGTCCCATCTAACACCTATACCAACCAGGGCGTGGAGAATTGCAGCTCTGGCTGTACGGTCTGCTATTACATTAGGACTCAACATGAAGAACACCAGCGAAAACACGGCTAAAATCTCTAAAGAAGCACGCTACCGGGTCTGGTGGTGTTTGTATACATTTGAGCACATGTTGGGTATCATGACAGGACGGGCTTCGTGCGTCACCGATGGCATCTGCACGACACCATTGCCACTTCCTTTCGAGGAGGAACAGCTCTCGGAGCCGGCTGCGACAAGGCTCCTTAACAACCTAGATATTCGTCAAGACTACATCGAATCCGCCCTTGCTTCTTCATCCGTTCGCCTGATGCCATCTAATCCCCGCGGGGGCAGAGAAGCTGAAGCGTCAGATCAATCGCGCGATACCTCGTGGCTGCGAAATCTGCCCCCGAGCAGCGCCCTGGGCTTTCTCTATTATGTCGACCTCGCGGTCATTGCACAGGAAATTGTCAATCGGGTATATTCACTCGATTGTATTTCCATCCCATGGAGTCATATTGAGAACCGGATTGGTGAACTTCGGTCTCGGATTGACCTTTGGCACCAAAATCTCCATGAAGCGTACAATTTCTCTCGACCTGAGGACCAGAGCACGGATGTAATCCGTGTCAAGCTATTCCTTGCTTTCCACTACTATAGCGCGCGAATTACTCTGGGACGGCCATGCCTCTGCCGTCGCGACGCAAGGCAAACGGCTGCTAGCAAAAAGCCAACCTTCAGCCACGAGATGGCGGTTGTAACCTTGGATTCTTCTCGACGTATGCTCGACTTGATGCCGGATGTGCCAGACGCAGCCCGTCTTTACCAGGTATGCCCCTGGTGGTGTATTCTGCACTACTTGATGCAAGCGACCTCGGTCCTACTGTTGGAGTTGTCCTTTGGTTGTATTCACAAGCCAGAGGATGAGATGAACTTTTTGGAATCTACAAAGAAGGCTATCCGTTGGCTCTTTGCGATGGCACAGAATAGCTTGGCATCTCGAAGAGCGTGGGAATTGTGTTTTGGTAGTCTCCGGCAGATCGCCTATGGGATGGACTACGATATCAGCGATATGCCCGTCTTTGGATACGACCCTCGGCCACATGACGTGACCCAACCTGGCCAACACCAAGCCGGACAGACTGATAACTCAGGTCCCGTTTTTTACACATCTGCTGACATGAATCAATCTTTTGTTGCGTCGCAAGTGTCCAATTTGCACCATGATTCTGGATTGTCACTTACCATGAACCCTCAGGATCCACAGCAGCAGCAGCAATACCAACACCATCAACAACAGCACTCGGGCATGCAAATGAGTTTCATGCCTTCCGACCCCAGTCCCGGTGGCGATGCATATTTTCCGTATGATCCAATCAGCGGCGAATTCATTCGCTCTTTCTTCCCATCCTCCGGGGATGAGGATCAACCATGGGGGTGATAAGTACAATTCGACTTGCTGTCTTCTTGGAAAGTCGGCCTGACAGTACTATTTTTCCACTCCCAGGATCCAATTCTTATTGCCACGCTGCACCACGATCTCGCACAATCTGGTTGGCCTTAACTGAAATTTCTCTCTGAATATTGTTTACCATGGCCTCGAAGCTTTGAAGATCCATTACAGCATTTCCGAGTTCGTGCGCGAGCTTGATTCTCTTCTTCGCAATATTATCCCATGTATACTGAGCGTTGAATTCGCTCAAACATCTGTCTCTGTTTCGTTTGTTTTCTGCTTACGTCTTCATCGCAACCATTTTCCAACTGCTTCTTCTTTGTATCTGGTTTTCTATGCGAACAACATCTGGGCTTTGTGTACGGCGGTAAATTTGCTACGTGGAGTATTAGGCAGGAGGGACGGGAAATGAAGTCTGGTCTGAGCGGCGAGGCCTGAAATTACTGGCGCTGGTGGAAATTTGTCATGAATCTTACGGATGGATGAATTAATGAATATAGGGTGGGATGGTTGGTGTATATTGGTTTTTTGGGGGGGGGGGGTTGATAACACCCTCCTCCTTTGTGATACAGATCTCGTTACCGAGATCAGGAATACCATTTTCGAGTTTTCTCTACCCCTCTTATTTCGATAATTCTATTTCTATGTAATGGTGGGTTCGGTGGTGATATTCAATACATAGTGGAGAGAGGAGAGGGCTGAAGTAGCAGTTAGTATAATAGTGTTTAAGAACGGCCAACCAGTTATCGTTGGCAAGGTCAACAGTCCCCTCTCTCCTAGCCTCTCTTCAACAAAACTATCAATCTTACAGTACGGACTGATTATACATACTGAGTTTCTTTTGACGGAGACAGAACTACTTATACCACTACTTAAATCTTGACATAAACAGTGTGCGTGTAGCTGTGATCACCAGAGGTTATTATAGATACTGACAGGAAGATTGACGATACGTCCCGCACGTCCATTAAGGGTTGTAGGCAGTTAGTTGTATATAGCTTGATCCTAAGCTGTTGCTGACCGGCCCGAGACTAGTTTTCGGCTAGATACGGATATTCGCAACGAGTTTGTGGCCGGGTTGGACTAGGTGGTACAATAACCAGGTGGGTAACCAGGTTGTAAACGGTTCAGACACCCTTTCCCCTACTGCGGATGCGTGTATCTCGGTACAGTATACTAGTACTTGAGCACCTTGAATGCAATGCTGGCGAGATTGGTTCTTTCCTTTGGAGATGGACAATAGGGCCGGACAGGACAGGACAGGACAATGTGAAATGGGGGACCAATTGAGGCTACTCTGATAGATATTAGAGCATGGGAAAAGCAAATCAATATACAGAGTGGTATGTATATAGATCTAAGATTAAGGGAAAAAGGGGGTCCTGGAAACTGTACAGGTCGGACTATACACATCAACTCTATAATACACATAACACATTGAGTCGGACTCCGGGAACATGAAACCGGGGTTCTTTGACCCTTACCCCCTATACACACACAAAGGGAGCAGGGAGAGGAGATAAAACCAGCTCGAGACAAAATAAAGAACCGTAGAATCCGGAGAAGATCAATTTACAAACTTCTTCCGGATCGGATACGACCTGCGGACCATCGACTCCGGCCCGACCAGGATGGTTTTGTCCGGAAGGGTGCGCACGGAGAGCTCGACCGCCGCCTCCGTGTCGCCCCAATAATCCCGCCGCTGCAGGGTCAGATACCCGCCGGTTTCGCGGTTAACCTCCTTATAGTTGAGGCCGAAGCGGAAGTACCGCTTGATGCAAAAGTTCAGAACGGGCCAGACCGGGTTGTCCCGGCTCAGCAGCTTCTGGGGGCCCTCCCGGGGAGCTTCAATGAGGTCGGCGAGGACCCGCGCTTTCATCGGTTCGGATTCTTCTTCTGGTTCTTCTTCTAACTCGAACTCTGACTCGGGCTCTGACTCGGGCTCTGGCTGTAGTGTTGTTGACCTTGGCTCTAAGTCCGGCGGCTGCGTTGTTGGCTGATCTTGATCGCGATGAAGAGGATCCAGGGCGTCATCGACAGACCGGTCCGTTGCCGCCGCTCTAGCCTTAATTCTTTTCTCCAAGTAATTACCCTCGAAGTAGTCCTTTATTTGTGAATCCTCATCAAAGAACGATTCAGCGGTGCCGTGGTCGTCGTTGTGACTTTTGTCTTCTTGCACCCTGTTCTTGGCGTTGTATTCTTTCATCGCCGCCCGTAGGATGACCCGAATGGTATTCAGGTTCGGGATCACACACTTTTCCTGCTTGCCCCAGAAGTATACTGGGTCGAAGTGGGGGTCGGCTCGCTCGAGGATGCGTTCGGAGTGTAGGTACATGCGCGGGATGCCGCCCTCACGCGTCCTGACCGTTTCCGGTGAGGGAATGTCCAAGCAGGTCTTGAAGTAAAGGTTCATGCCCGCGGCGCTGCCTTGCGTATCAACGACGGCTTCGAGGATCTGGTGGAACGCAGTCGAGGGAATGTAGGGGATCAGGGTACGCGAAGCGACCTTGAATTTTAGGTGATGTGTGCTGGAGGCGGCGATATCACGAAGGGCAGGGGAGTCTACGAAATTGAGGAAGACGCGGTGAAAACTCGCGAGCACACGTGGTTGGAAGTCCCGGCTCTGGACGGGGACAGCGCTGTTCGATAGGACCGAGCTCTGGCGTTCGCTGAACTCTCCAGCAAATAAGCGGCCGAGGATTGCCTTCGCCGTGCCCAGAGAACTGACGAGGCTGGCGTGCCTCCGTTCATAGTCTGTACCGAGGCGTTCCGAATCTTCTCCTAACTCTTGGAGCGCGTGTTCCAGACGGATGATCTCTGCTGCTAGGGTGGCAACGTTGCTGTGGCCCCAGGACTTAAGGCGGTGGTCGCGAAGGTACTCGAGCAACATTACCACTGAATCCCAGTGGCCTTGCACGATGCGGTAATTGAGAAGGGCACGCAAGGTGTTAGTTGAAAGAGGCTGCTGAAGAGATCCGATAACGGATTCAGCAAGGACTTCATTCTTTGTGGCGGCGGCAAAGCGAAGGATCGATGGCGCTATGTTCTGGTCACCGTACACGTCCTTTGAGATGGCAGGCCTTTCGACGTCTGTAGCAGAAAATAGCCATTCAGCCGACCCATAAGCCCGTGATGCGGTGAGCAAGTCGAGCAGTTCGGCCAGCGTCACACTCGACAGATGCGGCATGGGTGATAAAGAAGAATCGAGCGAGTCCCCAGCGCCTACAGCTTCCGAGTCAAAGGATTTGCCTGTCCGCTGCTGTCTGCTTTCGTCTTCTATTTCCTGCAGCCAGGCAAATGTCCTCAAGGCCTCCCCGGACCGTCGCAAGGACGAAGAATACCTAAGGGTATATTCGAGCAGGCCAACTGGCGCCAGAGTTTGATTGTAAGAATCCCACTGCCGATAGCGCCTGAGTTGCTTTTTATCCGTGTCTTGCATATAGGGCGGAACCCAAGGCGGCACTACAGTCGATGCGGCCTTGAGGAGGTCAATAACACAAAGAGGGTCCTTTTGGGCGTTGATCCCTCCAGCTGATAGCACCCGCATGAGGAAAGTATTGAAAGTCCTGGTTGTCGCAAGCAAACGTGTCATCCTCTGTGAAGCGAAAATGAACTTTAATGTGAAAACACAAGACACCATGCGGCTGGGTGACATGCCTCGGAAACCGGTCCCTAAATATGCCAGGTTTGGGAGACTGTGGAACAATGCACAAACAACTTCCTCGCTAATCGTTCGCTCACCCATTCCGACAAAGGGAGTCAGGTCAACCCTGTTCTTGGTGTAATTTTCCATAATTCGCCTGTCGAGCACTCCAGGGTCCTGTGGCCGACGCCATGTGCCTTCCATCTCGATATTAGTCTTCCAGACTCGTGCGGACTTGTCGAGCATGTGTATCTTGTTCCAGTTCTTGGCCGTCCAGCGGTTGTCGCTCGACTGTCTCTTCATTCGCTCTACTAGCCACACCCCCTCTTCGGTAAAGCCTTGCTCGACACAGCACCAGAGAATCAACTCCATCCAAATTGATGGTCCTAGTTCACGGATGACCGGGCTGACCGAAACGAAGGGTGATTCTTGGCCTGCTGCAGCAGCCTTGTCAGCCATGTCTGCCTCGTACTCCATCCACGCAGCATCAGTCAGAGCTTGCATAATCGAGGACTTGAGCAAGGACATCCCTGGAGGCCGAAATGAACTCTGGAATCGCAGGGGTGGAGTCCAATCGTAAACCCGGTCGGATATAGCGCCAGAAGTATGCAGACGGGCAAGAGTGCAAAGAACAACCGACATAGCCAACTTGGCCTCATTGGGGGATGCATCCGCGGCGTCTAGTACAAGGGCACCAAGCGATTGCCATATCTGCGCCAGAAAGCGCTCATTCAATTCGGCAGCAAAGGGCCTGGCGGTACTGTGCCTCAGCGGAATCAATTTTGGGTCATTTGACGCGCCGCGGTTTGTGGCCGGCGCAGCAGGAGGCGCAGAATCCACAGCTCGACTAGAAAGCTCATCAAGCGTTGAGTTCGGATCCAGCGCCCAATGCACACCGGTTGGTGGCCGTGAGCGCCGCGAGAAGTCACTGGCGGCTTCGGAGGCGTCAAGAAGACGACCTAAAATGAAATCCACAGCAGCCCAATTGTTCAACCGAAAGCCAAGATAAGTCAGCAGGTCCAAATGTCGATGCTTTCGGGCTCGATATAGCGTGTTGGTCATGTCGACAGCTTCTGCGAAGGATTCCTGGGCCATAGACGACGAATTGGCGGAGGAATGCTCCGGACTCTCCTCCGTCTCCTCCCCATTGTAGTCTCTGCGCAACGGCGGTGGCAAATGCTCTTCCAGCAGTGCGAGCCAGCGTTCATTGGGGTCGTGTGCCTTTTCACTTATCCTAGGCTGCCTCATCTTCCTCATCCCCTGGGCACTGATAAACTCATAAGTGAAGGCTGTGCTGTCTGTCGCGAAGCGTTGGTAGATCCCACGTCGCCGCGACGCGGAGGAAGCCCAGCGCGAGCTGGGAGGGCGAGAGCCATGGGTTCCGCAGAAATGACCGATCGAAGGAGGAGAGGAAATTCGAGAAGGCCCATGATGCGGGCGCAGCGGACGAGCTGAGGACAAGCACCTTTTCATGACACGATAGTGGTACTAGCGGAGGTGGCTTACGGGCGGAGAAAGTCCAAAACTCGAAGTGACCGTTGAACGAGTGTTTCTGTGACGCATGTCTAGTCACAGGGACCAGGTCAAATGTAAACCATGAAACCAGAGCAGACTGTAGTATGTAAGAAGTTGTTCTTGGGAAGACAATAAAGAGACGGACCCGACGACGAGGAGAAAAGATTCTTTGAAAGCTGTCGGCTCTGGGGAAAAGTTCCTGGCGGGAGGAACTTTTTACAGATGGAAGGCAAAGCAGCAACTGATAGCTAGATGCTGACTCAGCTACAGGGGCTTATCTCATCCTTGATCAATGATGCGCCATTTACGAGTAACAATGCGCTATCATCCAGAATAGTTCAATAGCCTTGGACCTGATAGATGTACTGCACAGGCGATGATGGAATCTGGCTTTTCAAGGTTCAGACAAGGATATCAAAGTACGACAGTGCCTTATGTAATACATCTATAAAAGGGAATTCATGTATATGCAACCCCTGAAGGTAGATAGGTAGATAGGTAGATCAATGACTCGACTCGAACAGCGACCAGTGGCCAAAGGTATCAATGAAAACAAAAAGGCAGAAAGACCAGACCTAGTATGAACCGACATGAACTTCAGAGCAAGGCCCAAAATTACAACAGAACCTACCAATAGCGCCCGAGAATCAGACCCCAAACAACCGAGCCCAACTGAATAACAACAAACCCTATGGATTGAACAGTGTATTCTCTCATGAATGTGAGCCTTCACTCTGGCTCAACTGGGCTCATAGCTCTTCAGTAGCCATCTCAATATCCTCTTCTTCAGCAAAGTGCATATCACCTCCCAGCTCTTGCTCGACTTCATCAACGACAAAGCTTTCGTAGTCTTCCAATCCTTTCTGAACATGAACCTTGAAGCGAATGACATCATTCAGCATACTTTCCACATTTGTGTGCAGTTCTTCCCGTAGAGAGTTGGCGCGGAGCGTCAACTGTTCGTATTCAATGTTGGTATTCATCTCACGCTGCTCCATCAGTTGAACGCTCTCGCTAAGCGTAGCGCGCATCTTGGCCAGCTCTTTCTCCATCTTCTCAATCTGGGCATCTGACGCCAGCTTCTGAGTTGTGGTGATCTCTTTGAGCCTTTCGAACTCCTCTTCGGCAGCGCGCCGCTTGTGTTCCAAGGCTTCAACTTCGCTCCTTTTCTCGTCCATCGCCTCCTTGATGTTGTCCAGCAGATTGCGACGCTCCATATCATCGTCAATTGCGCGTTTCCGGCGTTCGTTGATGTCCTTGCGGAGAGACTGGAGATTACTACGAACGGCACCACGCAAGTCCAGGTTCAACAAGTGAGCCGGATGGTATCCAGTGAAAGGCTCCGCAAGCAGCCGGTCTCCTTCTGCAGAGATTCTGTTCGGGAGACCACCAATTTGGGATGATGAGAAATTGCTCTCGTTGACATTGAGGCTCAGCTCGTAATCATCCCCCTTGGCGTTCACGGCAGAGGATGGGATTAAACTGTTTTGGTAGCCGAGAGTGTTGTAGGCTTTGACAACCTCCTCCAAGTCCTCTAGCTTCTTGCTTGCTTCGGCCTCCTTGGCCATGACCCGAGCATGAGTTTCTTCCAACCGGTTGACAGTGTCTTCAAGGTTTTTCTGCAGCCGCTCGCGCTCGGTGTTCATGCGGTCGATGTCTTGAATAGTCAGGCCCTGCTGGTCGACACTGGCCTGGAGCCCGGACCGTTCATCCTCCGCCGCTTGCAGGTCGGCTTCGGTCTTTTTGAGTTCGTCCTCCAAAAATTTGATGCGATTCTCGTACTTCTCGATTTTGCCCTGCACATTCTGGTTGTAATCTTCGAATTTCCTTTTGTCGTCCTCCAAGATGCGGAAATGTTTGTCCAGCTTGGCCATATCCGGGGCGTTCTTCTCCAACTCTTCAATCTGATCGCGTAGGGCTCGATTCTCAGCCTCGAGGACCTGCATCTCTTGCACATACTTCTCGTTGCCCTTCTCGAACTCCTGTGCCATAATCTCAACATGTGGAACAAGTCTCTTCTCTGCCGTTTCATCATCTTCCTCCTCCCCACCCTGAAGCCAATCATGGTAGGCGCTGGTAAGGAATCGGAAGATGATACGGTCGCCCGAGACGTCTACGCCCATTTCTGCGCAGGCTTCGTCATATTCCCCAAGAAGGAACCGGTCCATCATTTGCGCTAGTTGCATGAGCCAATGTAGCATGCCGAGGAAAGTGGGCCAGTTTTGGCCGCCAACTGCTGCGATTTGCGACTTTGTGATGCCTTTCTCGTAGGGGTAACGCAGCTGCTTCAATATCGGCGGCACTTCCGCATCCATGCTCTTTTGAAATTTGTGGCCCGGGTCGATGCGATGATATAGCCACTGGAAGATGTAGTTGAAGTCTTTTTGGGTCGGTGACCGTAACGTGTTCTGGCCTAGTGAGTGCTTCATCTCAAGTTCAAAGTTGTTATGTGTCAGATACTCCAACAGCTCTTGGCCGATCCGCGCCTGGAAAGACCTGTCTCTGAGAGGTCTCGGGTCTCTTGGGACACCAGCTACTGTGGGAACCTGGGTGAAAAACGACTGATGCGCCATGGCGCCCCCCATGGACGGGCGTGAGAAAACACTACTCCTTCGCTGTAACGCCTGTGCGGCCGATGTATTGGATGTAATAGCTCCGGGAGCGAGGCTGGGGCGTCCCATGCTGGGTCCATGGAAGATATTGCTCGACACCGAGCGCCGGACTGACGAGAGACCAGCGTCTGCACCAAGACCCCCACCCGATGAAGATCGCTGGAAATTCGGCTGTTGCGGGCGACTGGCAGAGTTCATAATCGACATGGAGCGGGTGTGCTGTGAAGTGAAGGGAGGGTTCTGGTATCCAACGGAGCTGGTACGTTTGAGGGCGGATGAGGGTTGGGGAAGAGCGGAGTAGTTCTGAACGCTTCCAAGCGCCATCGACTAGATGTGGTAGTCAGCATCATTTTGAATCTGAGTTTTCTTGCATCCATTTAGGCACATGGAAGGTGCGACAAGTTGGGGCGCATACCTCGCGAGGGCGCCTGATGCTGAACAGTCCGGTATCTTGCGACATGATGAGCAGGCAGCCGCGACTGCAGCTGTTGATTTGATACAATCACAAAATCGGCCCAAAGTACCAACCGGGGTATTCCAAGAGGAGTGAGAACCAGGAGCTGGATTGATTGTGCAGCACGAAGCTGGAACACCAACTTCTACCGTCGGAAATGGAGGGAGATTTTGGAGGGCAGCAGCAACCGAGCGGGCGGATGATGGATGTAAACAAGACATGCCACTTTGCTTGAAAATGGCAGGCGGTGAGCGGTTTGGGAACAACAGGAGAGCTGAAAGGTTGAACTAACCTGATCCGGACTGAGCCACTCTTACTAGGTAAGTTATCATCCATCTTAATCCATGATCACGGGCCCCTCTGGGGATACGCCGAGTCCGCCGCGGTACCGGCTGTGATTAGTTGCTTTATTACAGTACCTCCTAGTACCGTCCTAGCCTCCCCTCCCCAACTTCCGAGGTCCAATTCCCTTTCCTCCACCTCCACCTCCACCACCACCACCTCCCCCTCCTACTAATTTTCCACTTCGCTTTCCATCTCATTGTCTCTTTCAATTCTCACTCACTGCGCATCTTGTCGCTCGATAGACTCTCGTTTCGTCACATCGAAACAGAGTCCCTGGTGGACCCGTCATCATGGTTCGCGAGGAGCTTATCTCGTCTGCTGTAGGTTTATCGCCCCAATGCCTCATCTGTCATTTGCTGTTGCCGGAATCGGAGCTGACTCTCATCCTCAACATCATAGATCACCTGTAGGTAATCATCGACGCGCTGCAATGCGATTCATTTTGTTGCGGACTCTAATTCGAAGATAGTTCTCCAAGATCCGTCTGTTGCCTCTTCGCCGATCGAAAAGCGAGTCGCATTCCTGCAGTCAAAGAACCTAACGAAAGAAGAGATCAATGTCGCTCTTTCGCGAGTAGGTGAAGATCCGGCCGCAGCAGCCGCGGCGACATCATCTTCGAGCTATCAGCCTTCTTCCCAACAAGCAGTCTATCGACCACCTCCACCTCAACCACCTGCTCCGGGATATGGCTACCCACCGTATGGTCAATGGCAGCCCCCGCCAGAGTAAGTGGCTGTCCGCCACGGAGGATAGTTTTGGGAATACTAATTTCGTCGTCACGGTAGACCTCCAAAGCGGGACTGGCGGGATTGGTTCATTATGGCTACCGTTGTGGGTGGTGTCGGATATGGGCTGTACACTATCACGAAGGTCAATTTTCCCGTATCTAACCTACAGCCGTGCTGCGGAAGGAGCTGACATTCATCAAGCGATATATCACACCCTTGATCGCACCCCCTACCCCACCACAGCTGGAACAAGATAAGCAGGATATTGATGAGCAGTTCTCCCGTGCATTTACGCTTATCGATCAACTCTCCACCGACACAGCCGCCCTGAAGTCTGCAGAAGAGGAGCGATCCGAGCGACTCGACGCTGCTCTCAGAGAGGTCGAGACTCTTGTTTCCGATATGAAGAACGCATCCCGTCGGAGAGACGACGAGACCCGCCGCATCAGCGACGAAGTCAAATCGTTGAAAGACGCCATTCCTAAGGCTATGGAGAGTGCTCGGGAAGGCAACGAGGATCGTTTGAAGGAGCTGAGCACCGAATTGAAGAGCTTGAAAGTTCTTCTGGGAAATCGACTTGGTGGCGGTGGTAGCGGCGCCAGCTCGTCCATCGCTGGACGGGCTGTGGGCGGCATCCCTCTTCCGACTGCGTCACGGCCAGCCGAGGAGTCGGCCTCTGCCTCTAACGCAACAAATGGATCGACTGCGGGATCGATTGAACAGCCGTCGCAGTCCGCTCAGCCGAGCCCGAGTGCTAGTACTGCATCCTTGGGCAACAACCCTCTTTCGCAATTTGGTCGGTCTGCCTCTATTCCCGCTTGGCAGATGGCGGCTGCCAACCGATCCAAAACAGCCTCCCCGGCGCCATCGAATGCCGCCGACAACTCCGCCGCCACTACCACGGCCAGTGAGCCTCAAAGCGCCCCAGCTAGCTAGACAGTACCCTACACATTCTCATGCGAAGCTTTTTGTCAGTCCATCTATTCCGAGTCCCCCGGGTAGGGCTGTCATTGATACCATGAACATGAATATGATGCAGCGGTTGTACGTTTGGAAGTAACAGTCTCGCACTTGTATAGTAGACGCTGCATAAGAAGAATTTAGCACAAGAGATTCCAGGTAATGCCAAAATTGATTAGCGCAGAGCAAATAATGAATCGGCCGTACCGTATTCTCTAATCATCTTATCAGTGTAAATCGTGTCTAGTACGAATGACTATGTTCTGTACCTCCACACTCTCCACCAACGCCGCCGCCTCGGCCGCCGAAGCTTGGCACCTTCAACTCCGCCATCCAACCCTCCCCAACTTCCATCTGGATCAGCTTCTCTCACCCGCCCTTCACGGACAACATAAGCAGCTCAACACAATGTCTTCTCGAGATCACCATCGCGGTCGCACTGATCCAGCCTCTCGACCTCGCTCCCATACCCGATCGCGCACTCGCTCCCCGGACACAACAGACCGAACAGACCGACACCGAAGCAGACGCCATCACCATCATCGCCATCGTCACGATGACCAACACGACGACCACCACCGTCGCCATACAGACACCCACCGCGACCGACACACTCAAGACGAAGACCGAGACCGTCACCGCCGGCACCGTCACCACCATCATTCCTCCTCCCACCGCACCCCAGACACAGCGCAAGCAACCCGAGCGCCCCGAGTCCTCCCCTATGGATCGCGCGAACTCACCAAACACGACCTAACCACCTTCACCCCGCTCTTCGCCATGTACCTCGACATCCAGAAAGGTCTTTATCTCGAGGACCTCCCCGAAGACGAAGTCAAGGGTCGCTGGAAGAGTTTCATTCGCAAATGGTACCTAGCGCTCTCTCGTCCCGTCCCGTCCATGCCTACTGTTCTATACTTTTGCTTGGCTTAAAGCACACTCCGCTTTCCCCCCCCCCCCCTCCCTTGCCCAGAAATCACATGGGAGCAATAAATCCCTGAGACTAACATATCAGGAACCACGGCGAACTAGCAGAGGGATGGTACGATCCCGCAATGCTGGAGCGGGCGCGGTCAAATCTCGATGACGCCCCTCCTCCTCCTGCCGGCAAAGGACCGCAATCCTCCACCTCCACCGCCCACAACCAACAGACTGAGCGTCATCATTCCGATCGAGATCGCCAGAACACCGACGACGTTGACGACAACGAAGACAATGAAGAAGACGATTACGGCCCCACCCTCCCCCAACCCGACAAATCACTGTCCGGGCCCACGATCCCCACGATACAGGACCTGGAACTGAGGAAAGGTACGCCACACAAAAACATCCCAGACGCACAGCATGGCATCCACTTTCTCGCGCTGCGAGATCCGTAGTCTCTGTGCGGAGGGAAGCTCGTAACAGCGAGACGTTAAACCCCACAAGTGAACTAACCCACCCTCTAAACAAAACAGAACAAGCCCGTGAAGACGCCCTCGCCGCGCGCCAGGACTCACAATCCCACTATCGAAGCGAGGTGCGCTCCCACCGCGCGGAGCTGCGGCATATGCAGGAGGAGGTGGCGCCGCGGGCGGAGCCGGGGACGCACGAGCGGCGCATGGAGAAGCGGCAGGAGGCGGCGCAGGCGAACCGGGCGTTCGCGGAGGCGCGCCGCGGCGGGTCGCCGGGGGCCGCGGCGGTGCCGGATGAGGACCTCATGGGATCCGGGGAGAACGAGTTGGAGGCGATCAAGAAGTCGCGGGAGCGCGAGCAGCGCAAGAAGAATGAGCGGGAGCTGCGGCGCGAGGAGATCATGCGCGCCCGCGCGGCCGAGCGGGAGGAGCGGCTGCAGAAGTATCGCGCGAAAGAGGAGGAGACGATCGGGTGGTTGAAGACGTTGGCGAAGCAGCGGTTTGGATGATTCCCCCGCATACGTCTTGGATGGGTTATGAAGGAACTGTGAATGAAGTGTCCCTCACGGTTCGATTCGGAGATCCACATACAGATTCGCTAGAAATGACAAGAACACTGTACTGATACATCTGATTGTGCTATCTAGAGTATATGTATGTATGTACTGGCCCAGAAAAGCAAAACTCCTTTCCACGTCTAAGTATCCCCTCCAAACTTTTGTTTTAAAACTCGTCCATATATCGAACAACCCCCACGCGAACGCCTCTAGCAAAGTACACACAGACACACACACACACCTTGATTCCTCTTTATGTTCGATCCTAATCTTTCCGCCCCAACCCCAAATCAGCAACCAGCCTCATCGAGTCCGTCCCATTGACCGCCGCCGCCGCCTCCCCAAGCCCAAAGAACGGCTTGACAGCCACATCAACCGTCTCCTCGAACAAACGCCCCACGACCAGATCCTTCAGCTCCTCGCCGGTCTGGGCGAAATCCGGGTAGGCGTTCAGCTCCAACAGCCAGGCGTTGCCGGTGTGATCGACGAGGAAGTCGACGCCGAACAGCTCGAAGGCATTGGGGAGGGTCTGGAAGTGCACCATCATGCCGCGGGCGGCGGCCTCGAAGACCTCGCCGGTGACGGCGCAGATCTGATCGAAGAGCGTTTCCTTCCAGTCCGGTGCGAGGCCCGGGACGGCCTCGTCCAGCTGCCAGTAGCGGCGGACGCTGCCTTCGTTGGCGCTGCCGCCGTCCTGGAAGCAGGTGTTGGTGAGGTGGCGGGCCAGGTCCGTGACCCCGTCGCTTTCTTCGTCGCCGGGCGCGCAGTAGGGCTTCGCGGCGAACAGGGCCAGCATCTCCCGGAAGACGTAGACCTTCAGCGAGCCAACGGCCAGGACGTAGGTGCGGATGTGGAACTTGCGGTTCGCGGCCGAGGGGAGCAGGAGCGGCGGGTCGATGTACGGCTGCGCGATGAAGTGGCGCAGTTGCGAGGTGACCACGCCGTGATCGTTGTCGTCGTCGTCATCCTCGGGCTTGGTGGGACGCTCCGAGTCACTCCCCTCCTCATCATCTTCCTCCTCGTCATCCGAATCAGGATCCCATTCTTCGAAGATCTCGCGGAGTCCGTCTTCGCTGTTGAACAGCCGGATGCCGTTGCCGCGGTCGCTCATCCCGGCTTTGAGGATCCACCATTCCTTCTCGGACTCCGGTAGGGTCTCGTTGCGTTCCAGGCTCTCGCGGAGCTCGTAGGCCTCTAGGAGGGCGTCGTCGAGGAATTCCGCGTAGTCGAGCTCGAAGTCGCAGGCGAACTTGAAGTGCTTGGCCAATACGCTGTCCGGGTGCTTGGTCACCCAGTTCGTGACGGTGTTGGACAGGTAGTGTTTGCGGATCAGCGCCTTGCGGATGATGTAGGCGTTCGCGAGGGACGACGAGGAGTGCATCATGGCGTGCTCGAAATCCAGCCGTTCGTATTCGCGATACTGGAACACAGGAGCGGAGGGGGACGGGAGGTCGGCCAGAGAGGAGATGGTGCGACTTTGGCCGGCGCCGAGGCGACGCTGCAGGGCCTGCTCCATGAGACTCTGAACGTATGGATTGTCGCTGTCCACGATGGTATATAATGTAGGCTCATTATTATCCGGTCCCGGTCTACATGAACATGATCTATCAGAATCCCGGCCGTCCCACGGTATGAAAAGCACTGCAAGTAGCATTGAAAGGGAAGCGAAAGACAAGACAAAAAGAGGAAGGCGCTGAAGGCATAGACTAGCTCTCTCGAATATCTGACAAGCGCGCGCAAGCTCTTCTCTATGATATGTGCAGGTAATGCAGTTCGGGTTGTATAGATTCGGCCGTTCGTCTGCCGCGCAATAAATATCACTCACAGCTTGATCTCCCCTTCGATACCGGGCGTGTGCATGAAATTAGCCTTCAACGGCGTGACACTGCGGTGAGGGGTTAGCAACAGTTGACAAGAGCACGGGACTCAACACCACAAACCTAGTCATTCCCTCCTTCACAACCCACCCGTCATTTCCGGGCGTACCCTCATCCACGCTTCTGTAGACATCCGTGAAATTGGGCGCCCACTCGAAGTGCTTGTGTTGGATGCGAGATCGCTTGATCGAAGGCTTGCTCCCTTCTGCAGCCAGAGCTTTCCCAGCACCCTCGCCTTCTTCCCGCAGCTTGTGCTCATGCGCACTCGGGCCGTCCGTCGAGGCAGAAGCCTCAACGGCCTTGAAGCAGCTGCCAGACGACCAGCGGTTATCGAGCATCTGAGTGTAGAGAACCTTGGCCTCGCTCACACCAGGCTCCAGAGGTACATTGACACTGTATAGATCGACTCCCTCCGCCCAGTTCTCGTGAAGGTACTCGATCAACCGGACCGAATGCCGCGAAGCCTCCGCGATAACGATGGGATCATGCTGACGCGAGCTGAATGCGTATGACAGAGCGATAGCACGTTTCCCACAGACCGCGGCCTCCATGGCACCACCAATCGTTCCGCTGGACATGGCAAAGAGCGCTGTCGAGTTCCGGCCATAGTTCGGCCCAGAAACGACCAGGTCGATCGGACCGCGGTCTTCAAAGTAGTGGTATAGGCCAATCTGCACACAGCTGGCCGGCGTCGAGTCGACAAGAATCCACTCATCGCCGTCGTATTCTTCGTCGTCGCCTTCGTTCATACCGTGGGGCAACTCGTGAGTTGTTCCATCGTCCTTGTGCAAAGTCCCAGGCCGGAAGTAGGTGGGCTTCACCGCTGCTCCGACCAGGTGTGCTTTACCAATCCATGATCGCTGCTGATGCGGTAATACTACCGAAACAGTATGTCCGGCCGATTGCAGCGAGACGACGAGCGAATGGATATACGGCGAAGACTGGTTCGACGGCGGTCCGTCGTCGTTGACAACCTATTGCAGAAAATCCCCGTGAGCCTGGGCTGAGATGGATATCGACTGATGGCGTGATATGGACAGGATAGCTGATGTGCTTACTAGAATATGCATTGGAGTAAGACCAAAGGTGGCGCGAAGGGAGTTGAGTAGAAGAAGGTGAAGAAGAGGGGCAGAGAGGCAGAGGAGATCACGGCAGATTTCCCCGCCTTTTCGTCGTTCCTTGCGAACTGGAACCAGGCTGGATCCACCTGCCGCTCCGGTTTGTCTCGTTATCGATAACTAATTAACAATTATGGTCATCATGAACTAATTCAATCCAGCGTTGCAGTACATCCCATTCACATTGATCAAGCCACATGTCTGGGTATCGACTAATTATTACACAAGCGAATATGGTCATTGCTAGGAGTGTGCCGTGGTGAGATGACTCCGTCGCCGCTGAATCCCTCGTGCATGGGCACTTTCGAGTCCAGTTCCAGTCCCTGAAACATCCGATGACTCTGCGCCACGATCCTCGTCCATATCCCCAATCGAATCGCTCCCCTCATCGTCTAGATCTTCTTCTTTCTTGATCTGCGTACCCCTGATATGAGAAGCTTCGGAAGGAACATCGAATAGAGAGGATGGTTCATCAGTGTCTTCCGACTTGACAAGCACTTCACTGCCACTTTCTGTTTTGACGACGACATCTTTCCCCTCGTCCTTCGGGCGGTGGAAGGCGATGGCCAGCAGAGCCCACACCATTCCCGCAGTCACCATGGAAACGCTCCAGAACATGAAGCCAAAGATGACGAAGGACGTGAGCCTCCAATTGTACATTACCCACCTAAGCCATTGTTAGTCTGAGAAAGAAAAGGCCATGCTGCTGCAAAGAAGTGAGCGAAGCGTACCGTAGACCAGTGAATGTCGCCTTGAACGTCACCCTAGCTTTGTAGACTTGCATCTTCTCCGCACTATGAATCTCCAGGCGCAAGCTGGACGGGACGTTACGCTGCCCACGGGGAAATTGAACCTTCTCTAGCATGCCGACCTGCAATTTCTCTGCTTCTCGATTCCATCCAAGCACGTAGAATGGCATCAACACCAGCTTGTTCGCTGTGTCGACCAGAGGGGAGGCGTAAGTGAGAATAGCAGAGCGGCGCGATTGGGAGAGCAGTGTAGTCGATGTATTCAACCCCGTCTCTACAGATGTTGAGGGCGGAGAGTAGAGCGCCAAATCAAGCATGAAATTACCAGCAGCGACATTTGAAGGGGTCCGTGGTAGCTCAAGCTCTACCTGCACATCATACATCTGCAGAGATACCAAATCCGTACCCAAGGACGCGACTCCCCAGGGATGGCCATCACTATGAGCAAGCAAGAAGACAGTCAGCCACGAATACTCCTTCCAGCAGCAGCCTCACTAAGGCACCCAAAAATCAACTTGAGCCTTGGGTCTTGGACGCACTCGAACTGCATGTGAACAATGCGCTCTAGCCCGACCTGCGGGATGAAGTTGTAATAGAAAATCGCATACGCAAATGCAGAGATGAACACCATGCATATAGCTGTTAGAACAAAAAGCAGAGTGCCCAGGTAGGCTTTTTGAGCCTGCTTAGACAAAAGTGGACGCATTGTCTCTGCCATCGAATTCTAGACAATTGTCGCATTAGCTGATGCGCCCACGTCAGTAATTAGTTAGATTAATGGGGACATTCTCACCATGGCCCTCGAGACAGCGCCTGTCCCATGCTCTGGCTCCTCGTCTACTACACGCTTAACATCCATAGCTTCAAGTCTGAGAAGTTTGAGCCAAGGAAGGGGTGCATTGATGAGGGGAAAGCATGGAAAGAGCGCGGCGACGTAATCGGGTGACAACCAGGGCGGTGGATGCTTTCCGCCTTGTTTATGGTGGGACAAGCTACATCACAATAAATTCTACGGGAGTAAACATACCAGCAACCAACAATTTAAAAAGCTGCACAAGGCATTAAAGTGATGACTACAAACAGCATGCACACAATAACCCAGAGGATCATAGTTTATATCGCCGCGTATTGTTACAGACCACTGTGAAAAGTAGTTATAAAAAAGAGCATCACCAAAATAAGGTAGACAACACAGAGAAGAGAAGGATAGAGGCAGAAAGGGGAAAAAAATGTAAGTACCATATAGCGTTGAAACATGTTTACAAGTCCTAGAAATGCAACCTCTCCCAGAACCCAACCGAAAAAGCAAATAAATTAAACAAGCAAGCCACCAGATAAAGAAACCCTTTCAAAT